ATTAGAAATAATAATTGAAATATATTTGGTGAAATCGAAAAATTGATAAAATGAACAAAATTAGTTAATAAAATTTAAAATTACAGCCTATACGTTCCACGGCTGGGCACAAGTCTAGTTCCATTTCTGAAACGATTTTAGATCAATATTCACATTGGCGAACTTCCCATGTCGTCGAAATATTTTTTTTTCTTAATACTCAGTCATGCAGGTTTCCTCAAGATGTTTTCCTTCACCCCCGAGTACGTGATAATTCAGCGCATAAAACAATTTCATTGGTGCCGGTGGGGATCGAACCCGGGTTGCTTGCGTACTGTTTACAGCGAGCGCTTAGGCCCTGAGCTACCACGGCTCACATATATCTATAATAAAATAAATGATCATTGATAATCATTTTGAGAAATCTAAACGTCGTCACATTAATAGGCAAAGCCGGGGTAGGTCACTAGCTATAATTTTTTTTAATAAAACTAGGTTTTTAACACTTACCAATTACTTTAAAATCCCAGGAAATCTCTAGTGCGAAAAAGATCGCTGGGGAATTTTCCACTTTACTCAATTTAATTACGTTGTTCAATTAATCAAATCAGGAAAAGTAATGTGTAATATTTTAAATGTTTATTTAAAAAAAATATATTTATTAGTTTAAAATCTGTGGCATTAAGGCGCACGATTCGCTTTTAATTTTACTCACGACTAGACATATAAACTATCATTCAACTCTCATTTAAACCAACAACAAATGCTATTTGGTTTTCATTTTAATAATTATATTTATCAGATGCCTTCTTTGTCTTCATTAGTCCTTAATATTTCACCACTGGACATGGAGGCTCGCCTGTATTAAAGAGAATTTGCCTTAATCATTACTCTTGGCAGGTGAATTGATGATCACTGTTAAAAATTAAGTCAATTTGTGACATCTCATTATCATGTCTTTAGAAAAAATGTAGAGATAAGCATAAAGGTTTCATATAAGTTGTCAATGTTTAATATGCTCACAGCATCAATAGATGGCATAACAATATAATTGTATTACGCTATAATTGTTCTATTCCCTAAGCTTTACAGGTGTTGGATGATTTCGAATAAACGAGTCAAAATGAAGATAAAAGTGCAGTGTTTAATTTAATAGTGTAGAAGTATAGTGAATTGAGTTAGTCGACATTTGGTGCCGAAACCAGGGAACTGGACATAACCGTGAGTAGAGTGCGTAAACAGTGACAAGTGATATATAGCAGTGAACTCTGGACTTCATTATCGACGGTGGTGATATTCAAGATCTAAGCTTAAGGCGACATAGTTTTTCAATTTCTTGAACGGATAAACTTGGTGAGACAGCATTATAACAAAATGGAATCACTTATTTTAAATCAGGAAGACAACTTGGATCATCTTAAAAGAGGTTTTGCAAATTATAAAAAATCACCTAAAGAAAGAATAACGCTGGATTATATTGAAGCAAGATTAGAAAATCTAGAGAGATTAAATACCAACTTTTTAACTGTACATGCACAAATATTACAGACAGTTAAAAGGGAGGAAAAACACAACATTGACTATTTCAAAAACGACATATACATATACAGTTTGAGGAGATGTATATAGAGTATAAAACAAAACTAAAAGACAATTTACGAGCAAACTCTCTACAAGAAAAGTGTTCCATCACAGAAATACCTCAACAACCATTGCCATGTGAAGTAAAATTACCTCAAATAAAATTAACTGTATTTTCTGGTGGCTATGAAGAATGGCAAACATTTTATGATTTATTTCGTTCACTGATCCATAATAACGCCAACTTAACGCCTGTTCAAAAGCTCCATTACCTCAAAAGTAGCTTATCTGGTGAACCAGAGAGTTTACTAAAGACTTTAGCCACGACTGATTCTAATTATGAAGAAGCTTGGATACAATTGACACGCCGTTATTAAAACAAAAGATATATTTGCATTGAAATTATGAAGCGACTATTTTCGCAAAGGTCATTGACACATGAATCGGCTAACGGTGTTAAGCTATTACTGGATACAACAAACTCGTGTTTGAAAGTCTTAAGCAATATCGAAGTTAAAGTGTCAGACTGGGACGTCATCATAAATCACTTGGTTTTGACAAAATTAGATCATGAATCGAGAAGGCTGTGGGAGGTACAAGTCTGCCAACTAGAATCTGAAAAATTACCGTCCTGAAATCATCTAACAAAATTTCTTGAGTCCAGATTCCGAGCACTTGAAATGATTGATACAGGGGAAAATGTTACAAGAATGTCCAATAGTAGCAACCTCAAACAAAGTCATAAACAAAAATCGTATCATGCAACTATCTCAGAAGAAAAAAAGGTATTGAGTAATAATTGTACAATGTGCTCAGGACAGCATTTACTATATCAATGTAAACAGTTCGGAAAGCAATCTCCGACCGAAAGAATTGAATTTATTCAGTCACAAAAACTATGCTTCAATTGTTTATCACCTACTCACAATGTAAGACAGTGCCATCAAGCCACATGCTGTCGACGATGTGGCAGACGGCATCACACACTGCTTCATATCGACAGATTCAACGACTCCAATATCAACATGAACAAGAGCCCTGAAACGTGTCAAAAATAAGAATTAACAAATCAATCGGAAGTTGAGAAGAAAGTGGTAGCCCATTTTGCAAAGCAAGACACTGAAATTAACGTTTTACTGGCTACGGCAATTGCCAAAGTCAAATCAACAAAAGGCTACTCACAAATAATAAGGTTGTTGATTGATCAAGGCTCTGAAGCATCTTTTGTATCCGAAGCTACAGTACAATCACTAGGCCTTCAACGCCTCTCAGTTAATGGTTTAGTATCAGGTGTTGGGGATGGACAAATGAGAGTCAAGCATATGGTTCAACTAAGTTTAGAATCATTGCAAAATCCTGAGTTTTCTGTCCAAGTAAATGCCTATGTTTTGAGTACTTTGACATCGTTTCTCCCGTCTACTGAAATCAAAATCCTAAACTGGCCTGCTATTGAAAGCTTGCCCTTAGCTGATCCAAAATATGGTTCACCTGCAAAAATAGATATGATTCTGGGTGCGGATATTTACGGTGAATTAATACGAGAAGGTTTACTCAAACACCCATCTAAACACCGACCCATCGCTCAGAATACTCACTTAGGATGGGTTTTATCAGGTCGAACTCATCAAAGACCTCAATCTAATCCTCAATTTATAAGTCTTTAAATTTTGTGGAGACCAAATACTGATCAACCTATACAACATTACAAACTATTGCGACTTACCTTTGGAACTGCTTGTGTCCCATATTTGGCAATGAAATCTATTCAACAGTTGGCTATAGACGAACAATCGAAGTATCCGCTAGCGGCCAAAATAACATTATATGATTATTATGTGGATGATTTATTTACCGGTTGCGAATCTATCGATGAAGCTAAAGAAATTTATGATCAAATGGTTAAATTAATGAGCGTTGGCGGTTTTATACTGCAGAAATGGAACACGAACTCTCAAGCTTTATTAGAATATATTGAAGAAGAAAGTAAAGGATCAGAAGCACTAGTTTTCAAAACTAATAACGATATGATAAAGGTGCTCGGCATAAGATGGAATCGGACAACGGACTGTTTTGAATACGTCTTAAAATTATCAAATTTACCTGAATCAATGACTAAGAGACATGTTCTATCGAAAATAGCAAGATTATATGATCCCCTAGGATGGATAGCGCCAATTATTGTAACGGCAAAAATTTATATTCAAAAATTATGGAAATCTGGCTTAAGTTGGGATGAAGCACTAACAGAAAGCCTAATGAAGGAATGGTTAGAATTCGAAAACGATCTCGCTAAGATAGAGAGAATTGTTATACCCAGATGGGTAAATACTAGAAAGGAAGATAAAATAGAGTTGCATGTATTTGCTGACGCATCACAAGCAGCCTATGCAGCGGCAGTTTATTTGAAATCAGTTGAAAATAATGGTCAAGTGTGCGTTAATTTAGTATCAGCCAAAACTAAAGTTTCTCCAATTGGCAAGGAAGTATCAATTCCTCGACTAGAGCTGTATGCTGCATTGCTAGGTACTAAATTGATATATGAAATATCACATATAATAAAAATTCCTAAAGAAAATTTATATGCCTGGTCTGATTCTACTGTGGTGTTGGCATGGATTAACGGTGAACCTAGCAGATGGACAACATTTGTAAGCAACCGAGTCTCAGAGATTTTGACTATGATAGACAAAAATCAGTGGGGTCATGTCAATACAAACGATAATCCAGCAGACGGTGCGTCAAGAGGTATGTCCGTAAGCCGCATTCTTGGTAATAACTTGTGGTGGCATGGTCCGTTGTGGCTGCAAGAAAAAACGACTCAATATAGGCAAACGAAAGGAACATTTATAACTAAAGAAGAAGAAAGACCAATCAAACATTTTCTCACAGTAAAGGTAAGCCGTGAAGAAGATCCATTATTTACGAAGTTTTCGAGCTTAACTAAAACTATAAAAGTACTAGCTGTATGTAAAAGAGTTTTAAGGTGGAAGCTACCTAAAGATCAGAGAAAGTTTCCTAAATTTGTTACTGCAAAAGAAATAGATGAAACTCTTCAGTGTTGTATCAAACATAGTCAGAACAGTTTTTTTTGAAAAAGAACTTGAAATGATAAAAAACAAGGACACGTTGCCAAAAACAACCACCTTCACTCTCTTAGTCCAATTCTTGATGAAAATGGGGTGTTAAGAGTTGGTGGTCGCATTCACCGTGCTCAAATCGACTATGATAATAGGCACCCGATAATTATGCATAGTGAAAGTCATATTACTAAATTAATAATATTGGATGCTCATATGAAGACATTGCATGGTGGGCCACAAATCATGTTAAATTTTATACGATCTAAATACTGGATAATCCGTGCAAGAGTACTGGTTAAGAAGTGCTACAGAAAATGTATGAAATGTTTAAGATACTCCAGGCAAGACAATAACCAGTTTATGGGTCAGCTTCCTGAAGTCAGATTAAAGCCATCTCGACCGTTTCAATCAGCAGGTGTTGACTTTACGGGATACATAAATATACGGATGTCTTCCGGTCGAGGAGCCACAGCATATAAAGGATATATATGTGTCTTCGTATGTATGATATCTAAAGCTGTGCACTTGGAAGCCGTTTCGGACTTAACAGCTAAGGGCTTTATCGCAGCCTTTCGCCGTTTCGTGTCTCGTCGCGGTCACTGTACAGACTTATATAGTGATAACGGTTCCAATTTCGTAGGCGCCGATAAAGAGTTGCGTGAAATGCTGAATAGTGTCAAGTCTAAGCTACCCAATGAAATTAACAAACTGCTAGCTATTGAAGGAACAACGTGGCACTTCATACCTCCACACTCTCCCAATTTCGGAGGCCTGTGGGAAGCAGGAGTTCGATGCATGAAGTCACATCTAAAACGAGTGATAGGTGATTCAAAGCTAACCTTCGAAGAACTTTCTACAGTTCTAGCACAAATCGAGGCATGCTTAAATTCACGTCCACTTTCCTATATAAGTGACAATCCTGAGGATCCATTACCACTAACCCCAGGCCACTTTTTAGTGGGTGAGCCCTTGATAGTAATACCAGAAGAAAATTACTCAAATATACCGCTAAACAGACTACAAAGATAGAAATTTGGTCAAAGGATGGTAAACGACTTTTGGAAAAGATGGTCAGAAAGAAGAGTATTTAGTCACGCTAAACCAAAGATATAAATGGAATACAAAGAAGATTGAGCCTGAGATCGATGATGTGGTAATAATAAAGGACCATAATCTTCCTCCAGCCAAATGGTTGCTTGGAAAAGTCATTGAAAAACATCCTAGAGCAGATAACATCACTAGAGTTGTGTCTATAAAAACTAAGAATGGTATTTGTAAGCGCCCTTGTAATAAATTGTGTTATTTACCTAAGAAATAGAAAGCTTGTTAATCTCATAGAGTTAATTTTTTTTTATATAAATAGCTTTACTAATTCTATAGACTATTTTTGTTAATATTGTGCCTCATGGTGGGCGGTTTTATTTTTAGTATTGTATAAGAGTTGAAATAATTTGAAATTTTGCTACATTTGAAAAAGAACGAGTCTTTTGGTGGGCGGTATGTTAAAAATTAAGTCAATTTGTGACATCTCATTATCATGTCTTTAGAAAAAATGTAGAGATAAGCATAAAGGTTTCATATAAGTTGTCAATGTTTAATATGCTCACAGCATCAATATAATTGTATTACGTTATAATTGTTCTATTCCCTAAGCTTTATAGGTGTTGGATGATTTCGAATAAACGAGTCAAAATGAAGATAAAAGTGCAGTGTTTAATTTAATAGTGTAGAAGTATAGTGAATTGAGTTAGTCGACAATCACAGTATCAGACGTCTCGTTCCTTTGGCGCTACTGTTCATCGCGGGTTTGGTTATTTTACGTCTTTCGTAAACAAAATAGTATACTACTATTTATAAAAAAAACTGTGAGACTTATCTAACATTTCCCATTTTAACCTCTTTTGTCATCCACGGGACGAAACAACGAATTTAAAAAAAATTGGTTCATTTACCATTTCCAATAAACATGCTATTTTGTTTAATAATAACTAAGTTTGCAAACCCACCTACCAAGCGCTCTGCAACTATGGCAAATATCAAATATGCCCTCTGCGAGACGATCTATGGGCGAGGCCTATATTTAGCAGTGTACTTTTAATAGGCTGTAATGTATGAATGAATGAAATGGTGCCGTGTAGTGGCGGTGTAAGGGTACCCACTACCCCATATCGTCCCGAGCAGAGAAGATGCGTCAGAGGAAAACAAACCCGGCGATAGGCAGCGTCTTCCTAATAACAACTCAAAATTATAAAAAACTGCGGTTGCCAACCTGCCTGCCATGCGTGGCAACTATTGCAAAATTCCCCCTATGAGGCAATGTATTGGGGAGGCCTATGTTCAGTAATGGAGTTTTATATACAAAATAGTGAAATAATGTAATTTATTTATTTATCTTTTATAACACTTAATTTATTTTGAATTTGAATAAAATATTAACCTTCTAAATTAAATTATTATGTTTGGTGTCATTTTCAAAACAAACTGTTGAATAATGTTTTTATACAAACGCCACAATCTTGTATTACAGACAGCATAAGCAGTAGGATAAATTACTATAACATTTCTTCGAGCTTCTACATCCGGTCGTTTTAATTTCGTCTAAGTGCTTTTACTTAAATTAAGGTACTTTCAATAGAACAGATGATATATCAAAAACCAATTCGCATCAAATGAAGCGGTACGACTTAATTTAATTTTGCTTATTATTTAATAAACATGGTAATTTTTAATTTACTGAAGACCTTTTGGGAATATATTATTTACATCGTAACAACAACATCTGTAAGAAAAAAAATTATATTTCTTCAATTTTTATTTTCATACAAAAATAAAAATATTTTAATTGGACCTTCTAAATGGTAATAGTCCTAGTTAGCAAAAGAAAGCGCGTGGCGGGGTAGTGGTGGAGGGATGTAGGAGGCGGCGCTTGCTCTTTTGAACTTGACCTAATTACCTGTGTCGTCAGTCGCCTTTGGTGCGCCCGCGACGTTTCTCCTTCCGTAGTGAGATTAATATCGCAAACGTTACCTTGTTACGATGGCTTACCGATACTCAAATGTTGAGTATACCGAAATAGCGCGAATTTTAGCAATTTGCAATGATAACGTTAATGAAGCCTGCCGTGAATATTCAAGGCGATTTCCCAACTCACGTGTACTGAGCTACGCTACGATGCTAGGCGCTACACAGCGATTGCGAGATTACGGGCAATTCCAGCCTTTATCAATCGATCGTGGTCGTCCACCGCGGCGCACAGTACGTGAGCAGGAAGACATACTGCAGTGTTTTGAACAAAATCCAGCAGCGAGCACTTATGAGGCAGCCCGACAGTTCAATGTGTCATGGCATGGAGTGTCATAAAAATAATGAAGGGAAGTACCGTTTCCACCTGCATCGTGTTCATGAACTCAGTGAAGCTGACAAACCAGCGCGAGTTACATTTTGTAACTGGTTACTGGCTGCTGAACGAGCTAACATTTATGGACTGATGAAGCAACATTTGGCAGAATAGGACAATTTAATTCGCACAATGAACATTTGTGGTGCTATGAAAATCCACATGAACCAAGACCGCATAGCTTTCAACATCGGTTTAGTGTCAATGTGTGGGCAGGCGTTATTAATACAACGTTACTGGGCCCGGTCTTCATAGAAAGATTAAACGGTGAAAGCTGTCATAGTTTTCTCACCGACACGCTGCCAGAATTGTTAGAGGACGTACCACTTGCATCTCTACGCAATATGTATTACCAACATGACGGGGCGCCGGCACACTATGCTCGCCTAGTTAAGGATTATTTAAACAGATAATACCCTGGTCGCTGGATCGGTCGTGGCGGGCCTTGTGCATGGCCTCCCAGATCGCCAGATATCACACCAATGGGTTTTTATTTGTGGGGGCATGTACAGACATTAATGTATACTGGTCGCGCATTCGAAACCCGCGGCATGTTGAAAGAAAAAATAATTTGGGCATTCGATCAAATCAAAATGAATCATTAATTATTATCTCGTGTCGGTGAACAGTTAAGTTTTAGGTGTCGCCTGTGCATAGAATATGGCGGTGATTATTTTGAACGCTATGTGCGCGATACTCATCGCCATCCGCGGATGAATACCTAGGTAATTCTAATTTTTAAATTTGTATTTTAATATTTTTATTCAACCATTGTACCTAAATATGTTTATTCAATTGCTGTTAATTTGTATTATTTGTATTTAATCATTATAAATATTTTATTGTAATATTTGTAATTATTTTAACCTGCATCCATTTTTAAATATAACTTACTTAAAAGGAGTCAGACATGACAACAAAAACTTACAAGTAGTTTTTTCGTAAATGTATTATATTCTGTAAAGAGTGATCTCACTAAAATTGTTTGTAATGATGTAACCAATATATTCCCAAAAGGTCTTTGGTAAATTGATAATGACCATGTATATGTATTAAATAGCAATTGAATAAGTATATATGTATACGTGTATATATATATATATACATACATTTAGTAATTAGGTATAATTTAATATGATTTCTTCAGATGATAGTGTTCGGAGTTCCAATCCCTTCGCCTTTGATTCTGCTTCTGATGAAATAAGTAGCATTGATAGCTTTGAAAGCATTGCATCCTTAAATATTGTTAGATTCAATTTTTATTGAATGTAGCAAAAACTTTAATGCTATTCACATAAATGCTCAAAGTATTCCTGCTCGTTACCCCGACACGTTGTCAAGTTTTAATAGCAAAAATATACACGCTATCCTTGTTTCGGAGTCATGGTTAAAACCATGTCTTCCATAAACATCCTACTCGCTTCCAGGTTTTCATTTGATTTGTAACGACCGTACCGATCGGGGCGGTGGCGGTGTTGCTACTCGTATTTATCTACGCTCTCATATACCGTTTTCAGTAATTCAGGTTTCAACTGGTTCTCAGACTGGAGGCGAAGCTGAATTTCTCTTTATCGAAGTATTTCTCGGTCATACTAAATTACTACTACTACTTGATTTTAATACTTGTCTTTTAAAAACCAACGCCAGATCAATAAAACTAAAATCTATTATCGAAGCAGCAAATTTAAAACTTCTTCCTACTTCTGCCACACACTGTTTCCCGAACTGTGCCCCTTCTCTTCTCGACATAATGTTTGTATCTTCACTTGACCTTGTTCATATATTTGGGCAATATGCAGCTGATTCTTTTTCCTATCATGACCTTTCTTACAAAATCCGTCCCCCTAAAGCTAAGTCAAGGATCCTACTTCAGCGTAACTTTTGTGACTTGGACTTGAAGCAGCTTTTAAATGACGCTCAAAAGATTGATTAGAGTATAGTCGTCAATGCTTCTACTGTTGATGAACAGGTAGCTTTATTTAACTCTTTGTTAATTCAACTTTATGACGTTCATGCTCCTGTTCGTCCAGTGCGTGTAAAGCATCCTCCCTCTCCTTGGTTGACTGATGATATAAAAAAATCATCCACATTAAAAATTGTGCTAAAGCGAAATACATGTCAGTTCCTAGCGACCTGAATCGAGAGAAGTATAGATTAGTACGGAATCGTTGCAACAATCTGTGTAGAAAAACACAACGACGCCATATCCATGAGTCAGTACAAGATACTGACCCTGCTAGGGTCTGGAAATTTCTTAAGTCTTTAGGAGCTGGGAAATTACGACAAAATTTCACTCACCATAACTTTGATCTCAATCAACTTAATTTGCATTTCTCACCTTCGTCTTGCATTAACGATAAAGCAAAACACAATACTTTGGATTCTCTTTCAAAAGCTCCCGCTCTGGACACCTCTGCTTTTAATTTTAGTCAATTTAACAGTTTTGATGTTATGAAAGCCATAATGTTTATCAATTCAAATTCAATTGGTAGTGACTGTATTAGTCGAAAAATGGTCATCCCTCTCATTGATCTCTTTTCACCTGTGATCACTTCCATCCTGAATAATTCACTGAATTCTTCTATTTTCCCTTCAGCTTGGAAAGATACATTTGTAGTTCGTCTTCCGAAAA